CAACAGAATGAGTTCCAACAGAGAGTAAAGGAACTGTAGGAAAATCAACAGATCGGTAGCAGCTTTCATTAGGTCTCATTAGATTAAAATGGATAGGAATAGCAGAAAACAAAAGCGTATAGCACAATCTTCGCCTTCGTCGAAAATGATGATAATGGATATCGCTGATGATGATAACGAATATAAACAATTAAAACAGACATCCTGAGAGTTAATGAAACACCAATCAGACTGTTTCAAATTCATGACTGCTCTTATTACCGTCGCGTCGATGAAACCGTTATAATGACAAGAACTGGCATTATGACAACGTTTGCTACGTTCTGCAATAAACGGAAACATATGCGAAATAGAAGCATGAATTTTGTCATGGTCATCGAAGCTCTACTCCTTGGGCTGGAGGGCATTGGGACGGTGTTGAATTTATGATGTCGAAGGAAGGCGAGCGAAGTCTTACAAATTTACTAGTGTTTCCCACCGCTGTGATGATCTTTCGCAACAGTAAACTTATCTGGGATTAACTTGATCAATGAATCATCCTTGGGGCCGAGAATGCGGTCTTTCGATGCCTATCTGTCACTTGCCATATGATGACAAAAAAATCCATGTGTTCCAACTAAGTCTATGTTCTTCCATCTACTACTTGCGGTTATTGATCAAGCAACAGATGGCTTGGGAATGTCCAACAATATAAGGCGATTTATAATCTGACAATCATCATGCAATACAACTTTTACTCTCTGTTAATTCTAAATGAACGTGTTATATTTCTGAACGCATTGTAATTTTTCATTCTGCAGCCATTCCTTCTGTGAAGTGAGTAAAGATGAGATAGAAGCTATGACAAAAAGTCACTGTCCTGAAAATAACCGCATTTAAAGTGCTCACATGCAGTCTCAAAACGTTTATTGATAGGATTTGTTAAATAACTCGTCTCGACAGCTTCCAAAAATGCCGATTACTAAGTATTTTTCAAGTGCGATGATACCCCGAGTGACAAACGAACAGATGCTAACGAAGAGCGGTGTGAGAAGACTATCAAAACTAGAAGAGCAGTACTCTGCTTGGCATCAAAAAAGGTTCTAAAAGACTACGAAAACGTGTGCAAAACTTATCTCATGATAATCACTGAAGAGTCGCAAAAGCGCTGTACAACATTCGAAAACTTGGAGCTGGCAGCACCTCGCTAAGAAACACATGCAAGATTTAATATTCACCTGTCATGTCACTTATAACTGTCAGACATTATAAATTTGACTCATCCTTCTGCTATTTCACTGTTAGCTTGTGAAGACGACAGCGACAAAATCCTTGTATCAGCATTTCCATTTTTATTTTTACCAACAGGTGATTATAATATTTTTGTTTGTTAAGTAGTCATCGGAAGAATTTGGCACTATGCAATAAGAATTCAAAAGAAGAGGAAAATTAATCACCATTGGAATGTCGGTCCTTCACTTTCACTACTGGGCCATTTTTGTCCTTTTCATGAAGGTAATAGACAGTGCTAACGTCCCTTTATAAACCATCAGTAACGAAGTGCCTCATTATTAAGCAGAGTCAACACACATGTGGAAAGCGTAGCGTGTAGTCACCTATTTCCTTCCCATAGAGCCGAAATCATTTATATACCTCGGATGAAAGAACGGCGAGTGACTCTCATTTGTGGCTGGAACTCGTGACCAATCGGTTCAGAGTTTGACGCTCTACCGAAAAATAACTCCAATCTGAAGCAATGTGTGCTAAATCAGAGGGAAATCGTGAATAAGACAGAGATTGCCTTCGAATGGAATCAAACCTGGCTCTTTCGGAGGCAGATCTTCAAGGCACTGTGGCAGCACGCCACAAATTAAGCAAAGAGGGTTACTGTCATAGAGTCATCAACAGTCAACATAACTTCAATTGCAAAACTGCCAACTGGTCTTATTTGCCCTTGTCAATCGTATAAGTGATCGTGATGACGAAGAACGAGTTGAAGACCAATAAAAAACAGTCTATCTAAAAGTCTTTCCATGCACCTAGGCTCAACGACGAAACTAGAGACTGGATACCGACCAAATGAGTGCGATCTAGGAAAAAAAGTGGAAGAAATCAGGTCTCTTGGATAGGTTCAGAATAAAGTTGTCCGAGACAGCCCTGACCCTGCTATAGATTGAAGCAATTAGTTGTGGTTGCTGGAATATGCGATCAGAGTGCTAGAGAAAAGACTGGAAAGGCAAACTCTCTTAACAAAATGCTATCTACGGAGAGAAAGCTGACAAGATGACTGGATTAGACAATTAACACGGCACCACCAAGTCACTGATTTTAGGCTTCAGTGAATGCACCACAACTCCGTCATTGCCTGTCCTAAGCCCGGTTGAGAAAGGAGGAGGGTTAGAGATGGTGACGAAGTCGCCGTAAAACTTAGCCACCTCCCTTCACCGTAATGACGTCATCGAAAATTATACCGGCTCAGATGTCGTCCGGGTTAACAAGGGCCGCGCAGGCTGTTGGGGGACTGAAGGCAGACTGCGAAAAGTCCGCGATCAGAACCTGCTCATCGCCTTATGCCACAGGGGGTCGTAGAAGCACAATAACGGCTGACGAAGACCAACGGA